TCAATTTTAAAATATTAGGAAGCAAGTAATTAATACATTTCGTATTTTCTTCTTTCTTTTAACAAAGCTCTATATATATAACGTTGTTATTTATATGACAAAATTACGGGAATAAAATTATCTGAATTTGCATCTCGTATTTATAAATTTTCTCCGTATCTTTAGAAATATTATTTTATGATTAAAGTGGCAAAAAATTTCAGTCACAAAACCGATACGGAAGGTTCCACGTGCTTAAGTGGCAAAATTGCAAATTTTATTTCGTGGATTGACACCGCACTCACTTTAAACGGAAGTAGGATATGACTGCCGCGCAGCTCAAAAAAACAGTATTCTTAGTTCCCCACGAAAATCATAGCAGCGAATCGCGGTAATTACTTCACGTCGCCGGTAACCACGTAGCTGTTACGTTTCCGTAAACTACAATTACTACTAATTCAACAGTGGACACGGTAAGATTTAACCGAACCGCTGTTTTCGTTGCGCAGCGGACCGTCCACTCGGCAATTACTACGCGCGCGGGTATATACTTCTGAAAATAACCATCTGCTTAAAGTAAAAGTAAACGTACAATCCCACCAATTTTTTCCTGTCACTTTTGCATCGCAAATATACTATACGACATACGTGTGTGTATGCTGTACGGAACGTAAGGATAAAACGAATCGGACAATAGTCGCCGTTTAAATATCTCAAGGTACGTTTATCGGGACCGCTTATTATTGCTAACAACTCGTTATTAACGTTTTGCGGTGCGTAACCGGCATGGTCGTGAGTAGAAAACGACGCGTGGAGTTTCAATATTTGCGTAAGTATATTTTACAATATACACGGAAAGACCGTCTCATGCGCGTTTACTCGAATGTAACTCGAACGCGCGTACCTTTTTCTCGCCCTGTTATGCGGCGCACGCTCGAAATCACTTCGCATCTTTTAACGTACCGCGAGCGAATTTATGCGCGCATCCACTTTGGCGCCTACGTGCATACTGCCGACGAGCGCACGCGGCGGGCAGAAATACGAATACGTATTCAAGAAATCTCAGGCAGTTTTCTCTGCAACCGGGCAGAAATTACTTTGTTGTAAAATTTAAACGATACTGGAATACCGTGGATAATGTCAATTGGGCATTAAAATTCGTAAATATGAAAACGCTATTGTGAATGTATAAAAATTATAACAAGAAGGAGAGAAAACTCTTGCACGCTCGAAAATTATAATTGTAATGACATTTTAATTGTTATTTTACATTATTGTTTGTTATAATTTTGCACCATAACTTTTTTGACGATAAAATTTAGATGTTTATTGTTATTACATAGGTATTATATTTTTTACCGTCTCTTTTCATTCACTATTTCAAAGAATTATTATTTAGAAAATAAGTTAAATTATAACATGATAAATTGTTTTTTTTCAATCGTTGATAAAAAGGAAAGGAATTTTGCTAAAAAGACTAAAAGGTCCTTCCTGAGAATATCATTCTTTTTCTATCTATCGGTGCAGCTTCGCTTCGAGTTGGCGGTATTTCCACGCAAAGAGAGTATGTAATTTACCGAGTGATAATACGAAACCTGCGTGTGTGTATAAAATAACTTTTTTACAACGATATAAATATTGAGGATTAAAGTTGCAATCCGACTGTACGAGCGTACCATCCTATACAGCAACTGTTCCCGTCCCGTTAATGTCGTTAATTAACACCGTAGCCGCCGTCACCGTAGCTAATTGAACACGCCCCTTGGCGCAGGCAATCTTCTTTGAAAGACGATTACGAAGTCGATGCACCTTCTTATCAGGCTGTATATTCGCTGATAAGCATCGTGTGTGCACTCTTGCGGGACGGACGCATCGTGCCGGTTGGATTAGAGAAGATCGGACGGCTGCAGTTGTAACGATCGACAGGTCTCGAAATTAAGTATTAGCGTTAATTACGCTCCACGTAAATAGCGCTCGATACACCTGATGTTACAAACCGGCCCCGAAATTGTTTCTCATATTGCGTTTGCATAATTCATACGGGCGCGTATCTTATTCCGTCTATATAGTATACTCTTCGCTGAATTCTTTCTCATTCTTCGCGTTATAGACACCGAATCGAGTCAATCGTTTATCGCGAGACTTGAAATTTATATATGTATTTTGCGTTAAATAATTTGAGATTAAACAGCGAGTTTAAGCGGAAGTCGAAGCTATCTGCGCACTAAGTCACATTTCAATTAGAATTTGTGGTAATAATAATTACTTTAATCTCTTCTTGCACTGCTTGTAACAAACGTAATTATTGAAATCCAGGAATTGAAATCCAGCTTTTCCTTGTTCTTGTCGACCGAATATTTTCTTCTCTCTTAGATATACAAACGTGTGTGATCTTAAATAGCCTAAACTCGTTTTGCAAATCTCTTCTCGTATTTTATTATAATTACTTTAGATGGGTTTTATCGTTCTCATTAATATTATTAATGTTTTAAATAATTTTTTGTCTCTTGTTTTACATTATCGTATCAAATGTACACAAGTTGCGATAGCGTTTTTTAATTTTTCTTACGTAAGAAATTACATCATCTATCACTTTGATCGAAATGAATATTTTTAATATAGAATATCTTGCTCTACGAAAAAATAGAATATTTTTCGTAGAACAAGCGCAAAATGGGAAACCTGCCGTGCACGCTTCTGTGCACGAAGATGAGAGCGTAGGGATCGTAAATCGAGATGGCTGCTTCTAGGTGAATAGGATATATGACAGCATTGTGGTAGGAGAATAGCGCAAGAGAAAGTCATGACAGAAATAATCTTGATGGCATAAGTCACTTGTTTTCAACTTTTCGTTAGTTCGTAAATTTACTCTTGCCGTACAATTTTGAAATCTAATGGAAATAAAATTATATTTTGACACAAAAGGACATATATAAGGATTTTTACAATTAATTACCAATTGATTGACGTAATTACTAAAACGTAATATCGTTGATTAGGTAATTCTTCTGCAAGATTATAATAATAAATGGAGAAATGAGAGATTATTCTATATATTATTCGATAACTAATTATAATATCATCTAATTAAGGACAATTTCGCAAAAGCATGCATTGCACATATAACTTACTATTCCACAAATGGAGAAATTTCTCTTCGGTATCTGAAATCATAAAGAAAATATGATTAATCTCAACGATTACAAAAGCATTATATAATTAAACGGCAAAATGTAATGCATTTAAAAGAGAAATTCAATTAGACTGCACGTAATAAACGGAGTAAACGAGTTTTCTATAAAGAGACTCTGTCGCGCCGGTACTCCCAATGACTCTTACAAATACGGTAATCGTTGGATCGAGGGCGATAAATCAGCTGCGACAAATGGGAACACACCTATGGCGACACTTTCTTTATGCTAATTCTCCAAGTAAATCGCGCATTCGCCGTGATCCGCCGTTCTTTCCAGACAGAAAACGGTGGTTGGGCAAAGCTACAGTATTGCGACAAGACGATAGGAGACGACGTGGGAGAACGGGCATAGAAGAATGCGTAATTGTTTTGAAAGAGACCGAGCTTCGTCGTCGTCGCCGCCGCCGCCACCGCCGCGCCGTCATCATCGTCGTCTTTCGTGTGGGATGTGTGAAAGGCGGCCTAGCCTGCCGACGCCGAGTATAAACGACGAGGACAGGTTTCGTTTCTTTCGCCGTCCACATATCCGCCATTCCGACCTCTCTTTTAACGCGACACGAGAAATCGCCGGTCTGTAATGGACCATTAAACGAGCAATGCGCGTGATTTTCGATTTATCTTAAAAATAGAAACGACTGATCGACGAATATATTTCCTAGAAAGTACGACGTGATATATTCAGATGGAATAGTTAGTATAAAAATTTGATGATTTACGTATAAAAAAATCGATTAATCGCACCAATCGAATTAAATATCGACATACTTACCATTCCTACCATATCTAATTCCATTCGGAAATATTCTTAGAAATCCTAAAAGAACGTTTGAAGTTAAAAGTAGAAAAGATAGATTTCTTCGTTAAAATTCTCTCCTATTTTATGCTTGAAATCAAGAAAATTCTCGGTAAATTTCTGTAAATTTCAAATCTTTGCCTGTGGGATCACGGAGGTATTTCTGAAGGAATTTTCTACCGCGGAAGTATCCTCCGTCGGCATACTCGGTACTTGATTCGAAATTTTGAAACAAGATATATCCGTTCGCGAGAGGTAGTCGAGTGGAGGCATCAACAATAGGGATTATCAGCATTGGCTGAGTAGACTTCAGGTTGATATTGGTCTCTCGAGTCCCGACATATTGTAATCACGCGGATATATTGTGTTCGTGCAATGCACGTTCGTCTATCTTGCGTCTCTCTTTCTGCGTACTATTCTATCCACTCTTCCCTCCTCTACATCCCGGGTACCGTCTTTCGGTCTCTTTCTTCGCGTTCGTCCATTTCCCCCAGCCTCTCTACTCGACGATCAATGCTTTCCTATCCTACCGATAACTCGATAATATTACACGCGAAAACCGCTTCCGACGTGCTCGCCCAGTCAGCGAGCCACTTGTGCGAGCAAATAACCAGTTATCGGAAAACCGATTTTATTTTCGAGGAGCGGTGGTTCCGATTTTTTTGCTCGCCCACGCTACTCGACCCTCCTCCTCGTTCTATCTCTCGCTTTCTGGTCTTCTTCTTATTTTTTCTTTTAGTTTTGCTCTGTATAGTATCGTGTACAGTGGAGGACAAGATTGGCACGATTAAGGTTGAACGACGCAATTCTCTTTCTAAACGATACTGTATCTTTTTTTGTTAATCCTTTGAATCTGTATTTTCAAATTATTCCTAAATGCGGATAAATGAAAAGTACTTGAATACTTTTTCGACTATAGTTAGCACCCTGCATAATATTGCAACAAAATTTCTTAAACTTGATCAATTATTACAGAAAATTTTTATTATCCTAATATCATGTTTTCATACATAATATTGTGATTATGTATTTCAGATTCTGAAAGAGTCCAGAGAAGAGAGGAAGAAACAGCTCTCGGAATTGGAGGAGATTTTCACACATTTATCACAAAATCGTTCTCTAAAAGGTTTCGACGGTGAGAAGACAGCAATGTAAGTTTGCATGATACTTTTTATCGCATTGCATGATTTTTTATAAGATATACAAAAGGACATGTAAAACTAGTATATCAGTGACTATAAAAATATTTATCAATGTTGTTGCGTTACCGAAAGTGTGTATATAAGATATAATAATTACATGCAGTAAAAAACACAATAAAACAATAATTTTATTCATGTGTTACATGAATTACATAAAACAAATTTTATTTGATTAATTGGCATTATTTAGAATAACGTAAAGTATACAATTTATTTTTTATTATAAAATGATTACTTGAATTCAAAATACTTTACTCTAGCATATAAAAAGTCGAAATTCGATATCATATAATATAAATATTTATATTTTTATCGTGAGTTTCATATGCAGTTTCGTAAAAATCGTCGTGGTTATCCGCGATAAAGACGCCAATGATATAGAAAAGAAGGAATCAATTGTACATGGAATCAATTGATTATGCGATTGCATCAACGCCCGAGATTTAGCGCGACAAAGCAATTTCTTCGTCGTCTGCTTTATACTAGAGCCTTTGCGCCTTTCTATCTTTAGTGCATCCTAGATCAATCCTCTCTCCTTCGATACCGGATCTACTTCAAGTACCGCGACAAAACAAACTGAACGTTTGAACGGTTTGCTGCGAGAATAATCTAACAAGGAAATATATATCTTTTTTGCAGTGCATGTCTTTTTGTTGTCTTATTGCTTTTTTTTTCGTAATTTATGAATGTAGTTAGAAAGACTCGTAATGTGATTTAACGCTTTACTGGAGTACCTGTGAGTACTTTTTAAAGACCGAAGTTAACATGATATTTTAGACTTATATTCGATTAAATCTATGACATTTATAATACTCGATGCTCGAAAAAATAATCATTCCGCGATGAAGATATTTGAAGATTATGCAAATGACAAGTTAGATCTAAGATTACTGGTGTTACCACGCACCTGCTACTTTCAATTAATATCAATTAATCTCTCTCGTGTATCGCGATTAGTTAGGCCCGTCGTCTCTCGGGGAAGATATCGCAAACCTATTTCCGGCAAGGGCATAATACTATTATGCGCGAAATGCAATTGATTATCTAGAGATTGAAAGTACATTTAAGCGTGTCTGACATTTACGTCAAATGTAGATCATTGATAACTAAAACTGCTGACGGTAAAAAGTCATTAAAAAATCGCGATATCGACTTCATCTTGACTTGATTATACCTCTGTCATGCGAAAGTTGTAACTGTGAATATGTTTGCAACTATATACGATTTGGAATGTCTTTACTGATACAATACCGCTTGTGACCTGTAAGATTATGCGATAAGAACAATAGAGTCATAAAGCTGTCAAGCTGGAACTTATAACAAGATATAACACTTAAACCAAAATAAATGCATGCAGTTATGTAAATCATAAGTTTTGCAAATCACATCATCTGCTTTGTTGTACATGTTGAAATTCTGCTTTCTGCTGCCAATAGACTTTTGAAATATTCAGACTGTGTTCAATTTAACTACAATATTTATAATATGCAAAACGATCTAAATATGTGAAATTCCATAAAAATTTTCAATCAAGCATCATAAGAATGATGTTTTAATTCTGCAAACGGATCGCAAAATATTTGAACTTGTGTATTAACTCGTGAAAATATCTGCACTTAAATCATTTTGACTAGTAATTGCGAACTATCACGGCATACAACAAAAATTATTCGCAAGGTCATGCAATTTAAACGCATACGTATACTCTTGTCGTCGATAACGTTTTCGACATCAGTCCCGTCGACTCGTTTCTCTCGAACGTGCGTATAAATCCCTTTATGAGCGTCGTGTCACGAATTCCCGGCTTGTCGTCGATTTTATTGCATGGCGGATTGCTTGGTATAGTCGCGGCTTTTACGCCGCTGGATAGAAGTATCGAAACTTCCGGCATTCCATCTGACGATGCGCGGGGGAGCGGTTCCCAACGCAAGGTGCATACGCGCGCCATGTCGAACGTGTGGCGTGTGCACCAGACGCATGGATGCGGTATAAATGTATACCTCCGTATTGTATAAACCGTTTCGAATTTAGCCTGCCGAAGTGCATGACGATGTTCTTTTAACGGGTTGAGTGGCTACAATACTAGCCGCAACATTATAGAGTTGATATTTTCATACTGATAGGATGTTTACGTGCACAATTCTATGCAAATCTTGATTCTTTTTTTTATGTGATTCTTTTTATTGACAGATGAGTAAAAGTACAAAAAAGTATCCAAAGAAATAACAAAAACTTGTTAAAAATATAGCATTATAAAAAATCGAGATATTAGAAAAGTAATATTAAATTTTACATTAAAGATTTATATTAAATTTTGCTTTATTCTCAATCTTATCAATTTAACATAAGATGTTTCAAATGAGTAAAATTTGTTTTTCTCATTTAACAAGATTTTACTTAATGTAACTAGCGCAAAAGTACAAACTACAAGTTAATCAGTTGGTATTATTTGATTTTATGACATTATCCTGTGAAAGGGAAAGAAACTTTTCTTTATCATGTGAGTGCTTCAATGCCAGTGGCAATGAATTTAGAAATCCGCGTGACTTAAAGCCATATCTCGATGCGGTGATAATTGTCACGAATTAGTTCTCTAAATCAACCGCACGCCCCAACATTCTCTACCTCGATTTCCCCCTTTCGCACTTATCGCCGACAAATGGCGTCTCTTTCCTTCCTCTTGACAATCGCGTGATCGTTTGGCGTAAATAACAATTAAATGAAACGCATTAAACTGAACACATTCCTTATCTACTTTTCTTATTCTTGACCGGTGGATTATTGTAATCATCATAAATTCCACTTACTGGTCGACGATACGTATAATGATCGATAATTAGATGACAAATCATCGCTTCACGAGAAATTCGTCTGGTCTCTACTTTTGATCAAGTTTTTTTTTCCGAATAATGCAATTCTGAATTCAGAGCATTTTTATTAATTTTTAAAATAATATTATAAAAATAATGGATTTTTGAATATAATAATCTAATATTTATCGAATTAATATCAGAATTAATTATATAGGTTGAACGAACGATTACGAACGAACAATATCGAAAAACGATATTACACAAATCTAATTAAATCTGTAATGGGCTATTGCAACGTGTAAAGTCAAATCGATAATGAATCTTACATTGCAATTTCGAGATAGATAACTTTTCGATAATCAGCGCGAGAAAACGATAAATTTCTTCCAAATTGGGCAATCAGATGCAGGTGTATTACAGGTGCAATATCTGTCGCCAGGTATGACTACGCACATGGGGCAGGTGATTGTCGACAGAATCATTCCTTTGTGATCTAGAATTAATCTTGATGAATTGATCTTGGTGTAATACATTGGCATCGCAGTTCATCGAAGTATTCCTTTTCGCATGTCCAGATACCATCGTTATCGCGCTTTACTCGGAGTCCGGACAGGGCGCAAAAATTGTGTCGCATATAGGTGTAATATTATATCGCATGTACATTAATTACCGATGGTTACGCATAATAATCTATAAATAATTAATTAATTAATTGATAGAAACGGTTGTTTTATCTATGACGGCAAATGCTGATTCGTATATAGAAAGCAAATATAGAAAAATTACATAGATAGAAGATACGAATATAGCAGATTTCATCTTCAATGCAACCGACAATTAATTCTTAATTACCAATCCATATTGCTTCTTATCATTGATCATTCTATAGCCAATTCACCACAGACGTACTCTGCAGAATTTATTCCCACCCGTTTTGACTTAGCATTAGGTGCGACATAGCGGTACATAGTTGCCGGTGTGATAAAAATCAACTCCATTTCCCGGCGTCGAAGTCCTTTAAATGGAAATGATTTCCATCGTGGAGGAAATGAGTGCATGTTACCGTTCCTTATCGGGGGAGATTAATTTTAGCGAACGCCGCGAGAGCGATACGCAGACGAGGATTCTTCGTATAGGACGAGATCCCGGCATTCTGGCGCGATTGTACGTAGAAACCTCGTTGCCTCGTGAAACAATCATTATTCCCGGCAGATCGTCTGCGTTATTGAGCAAGAACGGGACTTCCGTCGGGGAATCAGATACCCGGCTCGCATGTGCAACACGGTCAGAAGATGCGCACACCTAGGAATCCGCCTACCTCTCCGCGCGTACCTACCTACCTACCTATCTACCTACCTGCGATTCCCCGCGTGCATCCGTGTAGGAAGCGTCTGTGCACAGATTACAAAGTGGATATTGGTTGCATGAGCTGCATTTTCTATGATCTGTGCAGTAGTACAGATGGACCAGGATTTAAGGGTACCCTCACAACGACCGGAGCGGTCTTAAAATTAAGCTTTCGTATCGCATATATTATATAATCAAATGTAGAAACGCGAGTATCGAAGCGTATTTTATGAGACGGTCTTTTACAAGATAACATGTACGATTCTCTTATGCCAGGTTGTAGTTTTATTTTAACAATATCGAAGGCAAACTACTCTCATTTGGGAAGCAAATAACGTGTATCGTGAATGAGGAAAAAATATCTTTCATAAGAAGTATGCTTTATGTATCTCTTGGATAATCTTACTGTGAACGTTGCTTATGACTAGAATCGACCGACACATGTGAGCCCTATCAGAACCTAGGTGGAGAGCCCATGGAAATTGGCAATTATCGCAACCCATAACTAAAGGCCTTAGCCGTGTGCGCTATCGAGACATAAGGTCTGCACGCGGTGTCGGGGGTCGGCGAGTGCAGGGTCATTATGCAATAATTAGAAATTAAAAATTGTACGCGCCGCGTTGCCTGCACTTCCCTTCGCATTAGCCGTCTCTATCTAGCGTGTGTTTCTCCTTGCATTAGAGCCTATCCTCCATCCTGTTGTCCGGTATACCCTGCATCACGGTCAGTTCGTTGCAGTTAAGCGTATCGTCAGCTGGCGAATTGCATTTCTGCAACGATATCTATACG